CAGCTGGAGCTGCCGATACTTGGGCTGGCGCTTCTGCGGCTGCCGCTGTTGCTTGTGTGTTGTGCTCTGCACTGTTGTGTTCTGCTTCTGGTGTTGTTGTTTGCGACGTCGTGTTGTATGGCTGTGGTGACCCAATGCGCTGTCTTCGCAGGGGGCCAAAACTAAGTGTCTCCTGTCTGTTGAAGCGAACTCGTCGTTGTTGAAAGGTTTCAGCATCGACTGGTTCATACAATGCTGCAGTGTCAGGGTCCAGTGAAGGCCCTGACATTGATGCTTGAGGTGCTGTTGCAATAGCCGGTGGTGATGCAGCATGTGGTGTGGGTGCTGCAGATGGTATGGTTGGCTCTTCGCTGGGTTCGACCACAGTAGGAGCCCGTGAGCGGGATCTAGTGGTGGCTGGTGAACCTGGTACAGTGATCTCGGCTGGGGCCATGGGCAGCAACATGTTTGGTTCTGCCATCACTGGTGTTGGTGGTGCTCTGGGAGACGTCGGCGCAAACCTGGAATGAGCAGGTGAGGTAGGCTCATATTCAGCATCGGGCACGATGATCTGTGGTGGTGCTTCTGCAGTCGGCACGGGTGGCTCCAGGCGAAAGCGATGCCTGGGAGGCTCATCATCATCTTCTTCCAGCAGAGGACCATCAGGGTCAGTGTGTTGTTCATCTTCCTCGACATCATCCAGCTGTTGGCGGTTCACCCGTCTCAAGTCGTAGAATCTAGTGACTCCACGAGATTTCAGCTGTCTCACTTTGTTGAGGGCTGATTGCAGGTCTTCGAGCACGTGCTGAGGTCCGAGGATGTCTGCACGGACGTGGTGAGGCGCAGCACGAATCAACTGTGTTTTGTAGGCGAGCCAGTAGGTCTTGACCTTTGGAGCTGCAGTATCAGCTTCAGCATCTTCTTCACGAAGAACCACGTGGGCAGGACCAAGCCATCTGATCTTGTTCAGGGCTCCTTGGCGAGCATCACGCCAAAACCATACTCTTTCTCCCAACTGGAAAACTCGATTCTGGCCCTGGTACTTGCGACTGAGAGCTCGTCGCAGCTTGGAGTCAGCATCAGCAGATGCCAGTGCCATCTTTGCAGCAGTTCGCCGCTCAAGGTTCTCCTCAAATGAGCTGTTGTTGCCAGCAAGTTGAGCTGCATTGAGGTTGGAGTCCATGAGGTGGGACAGCTCAGGTTGGAAGCCAAGAACCCATTGACTGGGCGAGAAGCCAGCAACTGCAGGTGTGGCGTTCTGCTGGGGGATCACATAGCAAAGTGCTTCCTTGATGCCAGCAGCGTCGTTGAGCTTGCGGTCATCCATGTAGACCTCACAGGCACGGCGCAGCACTGCATGACGGCGCTCAACCAACGAAAGGCGCTCATGAGCTTCTCCTGGTGCTACTTGATGGTCAATGCCAAGTGAGCTTGTCCAAGATTCAAACGGTGCACCAAGCCAAGGTCGGCCTTCATCGGAGATCAGCTTCTTGGGAGGGCCAAAATGGCGAACCCACATCTTTTCCAGAGCGGTGATGTAGGACTTGGAGGTCTCCTCATGAAGCAGGTAGGCTGCCATGAACTTGGTGCCAACATCAACTATGCTCAGCACTGCAAACTTGCGGTCTGCTGGCTTGAGGTAGAAAACGTCAGCCTGAATCACTTCGTTGAAGGTCTTGGGCTGTGGCATGGATGATGGAGCAACCTGGTTGGGCTTCTTGTGCTTCAGACATGCCACACACTTGTACTCCTTGGCAGCGGCGATCACAGTGGGATGAGCTCCTCTGGCGGTCAACAGATCAGCCAGAGCATCAGGCGCCGGATGTCCAAGGTTCCGGTGTAGCCGTTGCACCGTTCGAAGAGCATCTTGTCGGTGTTCAGACTTGAGCTTGAGGAGGTGTCCGGTCTCTTTCTTGCCAGTTTCATCGACCACATAGGCGGTGTCCCACAGTTGAGCGGTCTCAGGACGAGCCAAGGCGGCAGCCAGTGTCGCTGCAAAGCCAGGTTGGTAGTCTTCCAAGTAGGTGGTCCGGCGGCCATAGCCAGGAGCAGAACCTTCCAAGGGGCAGTGGTAGTGGTCATGGTCACACTTCAGCTGGAAGGCCTCTAAAACAGCCTGCTTTGTGGTCAACAGGCGAGTGCTCTTTTGGACAGGTCGCCAGATGCCGTCGGTGTCCATGCACATTGCTCCATAGCGGCATTGGTCGAAGTCGGCATGGTAACCAGGAAGATCTCGGAGAGCCATCGTGTTCCAGCTCAAGGCATGTCGGGGCTGCTCCAAGTGGGCATGCCGTGCATTGGTCACCTGTCGTAGGTAGATGCGCTTGGCAAAGCAGAGATGGCGACGATGGTGGTGCTCACGTCGAGCCTTCAAGGCTTCTTGCTGTGCAGGGGTGCGACAAGCCAAGGTTTGCATTCTTGACCACAGGCGGCATTCTGGTGCCACCAGCACTTCATCAGGTTCTTCTTCATCAAGTCGTTGGAGTAGCTGTTGTTGATGGCTGATGAGGTTGAAGTCCCAGCCATTGTCCAAAGAAAATCTTTCCACCTTCATGCCAAGCTCCTCTGCGATGTGGCCAGCGCGAGCTTTGCCACAATAGATTTCCTAGAGAACTCGTCGATGGTCGGGAGGATTGTGAAGCTCCTGAGTGATATAGGCTTCGGTGGAGTTTGAGGTAGTGACCAACTGAGTCTCCATGGTTCGAAGGGCATGTCGATGAAGGCGAGTGGATTGCAATTCGCCACCTGCTAGAGCCACATCTTCAGCCTGAAACACATGTTCGAGCTTGTTAAAGTCCTCGAAGTGGAGATGGCTGCCAGGTGTTTCCTCAGCAATGCGAAGGCTGAATAGGGTTTTCGTGGGATCAGGTACTTCCTCCATGCCAGTGGTGAGGCTCAACAAGTACTCGCCATGGCGGCCCACAAGCACTGAGGTCCAAGGCGATTGCCCAAAGCGAATGCGCTTCTGGCTGAAGTCGATGCCCATGTGCAGAGCCTCAATCACAGGTCGGCCCATCAACATTGGCGTGTTGCCAGGAACCAGGTAGCATTGGATCGCGCCGAACTGGCCATCGATCATCACCGGGAGATCCACTGTCCATGAAGCTCGTGAGGATGCATCGCCACCAAAATGGAACTGGCGGTCACATCGAGCAAAGCGGATGGTGTTGATGGGGTAGTTCATGGAGTGCAAGTGGCTCAAATAGCGGCCGAATGGACCATATCCGCACAGGAAGGCAGATGCACCTGGGTCAAGCATGGTGGCATCCGGTCGGTCGGTGCCCATCTCATCCTGGAACAGGATCAAGGCGGTCTCATTCTGCAAGGCCATACCCTCAGTGGGTGCAGGTCTCTTGTTGGACGATGAGGGTGATTTCGCACCTTGTGGACATTGCGCTGCCCAATGACCTGGTTGGCCACAACGAAGGCATGTAGTTGCCTTTGCACGACCTTTTGGATCAGCCTTTCCACCTGAGGAGGGTGGATAGCGCACCACATTCTTTCCTTTTCCTTTGCTTTTGCTCTTGCCCTTTCCTTTGTTCTTGCCGGCGCCCTTCGAAGGTGAAGAGGATCCAGAGGCGGGCGAAGCGTTCTGGCCATCAGTGAGGGCGACGATCGGCAGGTAGCCACGAGCCAACTTGAGCTGCTGGAATCTTTGCCGGGCATCCAAGTAGGTGGCATAGGCGTGGTCATACTCTTCGGCCAACTCTTGAGGATCTTCGGACAGGTCATGGTGTTCTCCAGGTTCATCCTCTTCGCCGTAGTAGATGGCGTCATAGTCAAAGTCAGCCTCATCGTCAGGGGCAGTGTCATCATACCAGTCGTCGGCCTCATAGTAGGCGTCTTCTGTCCAGGGTTGCTCGGACCAGTAGGCATCTTCTTCATCGAATGCGGCGTAGCCGCGGCCCTTCCAGCGGTTGAACTTTCGCTCACGTTCAGCATTCCAGCCGCCTGCCTTGTAGTCCTGACCGAACAGCAGGTACAGGGCTTCGATGACAGGATTCTTTTCCAACGTAGGAGCCTTCAGCGTCACCATTTGGCGTTGCTCCTTTGACAAAGCAGCACGTCGGAGTAGATGCCATCCTTGAATCTGGACTGGAAGAGTCACATTGTGGGCAGTCAAACGACGATAGGCGGTGTCATGGTCGGTGACGAAGGACAGGAGGCTTTGCTGTGGCTTCCTTTGCAACAAGTTGAAGTACTCCTCAAAGTCATTCGGAAGGAGCACACGATCGTCATACTCGAAGTTCTTGTCGAGCTTGGTGATGATCTTGCTGAAGCCATCCTCTTTCTCAGCCTCTTCAACTGAGAAGTCCTCGAACAACCGCCACGTCACACCCTGAAAACTTCCCAGGATGTTCAGGACGGACTCGGCTGAGCGCTTGCTGATCTTCATCTTGTGGTGGTAGAGCATCAGCCTCTTTCTGTACTCTTTGTAGTCCTGGGGTTGTCCACTGAACAGTGGAACGAAGGAGTCGCGCAGGTTGAGGTAGTCACCATCCTTGGAACCTTCTGCAGCCGATGTCGTTGGTGGCATTCTCAAACAAGTAGCCAAGACCGAAAGGGCTCTTCAACGAGGAAACAAAAGAGCTCGGCCAAGGGTTCGTGACAAAGGACTTATGCAGAACCTCGTTCTTCTTCGCGCAAAGGACTCGGAGCCCCCCCGGAGGAGGCTCCGCTACCAATGCGAAAAAGGGGTAGCAGCGGCACCCGAAGTCCGCAAACACGAAAACAAGAGGGCGCACTGAAGCGCCGCGGCCGCGCCTTTTGCAAGGCAACTGCCCTCCCAGTCTTGAGAGGGAACGACGGTAAGTGAAGTTCGAAAACAGTTCGAACTGCTGAAACACAAGTGCACAGCGTGAACTTTACAGCTAGAAAAACACCAAAAACACTCAACGCACCCACCGGTCCAGTGTGCGTTTCACCACTCTGCCTTAGAAAAGGCACCACTCCCAGCCACTCCGAACGGTCCACAGTCACAATCACAGGTCACCGATCACGGATCTCGTGGTCCGAGGCACATAGACGTCCTCGTCCGCGGACAAGTTGGCCCCAAAGGCGGTGATCGAGCGGAAGCAAATGGCCCAGGCCGCCTGGCCGGACCTCGGGGGAGGCGCGAGGCCGGGAGGGGGAGGCGGAGAGGGGGCAGGCGGAGAGGAGGCAAAGTCACCCACTCACGACCAATACAATGGGTTCTTTGAAGAACATGGGGAGCAAATTCGGATCTGAGTGAAACCAGTCGTGTCCATCCGAACCCTTCAAACTCTACTTGTATCTTCAAACCACTTCATCTCACTGCCTTCTCACTCCATGGGCCGGCAACCCACGAAGGGCCCCGAACCCACGAAGAGCCCTACGCAAAGGGCTGGTCCTGACTCTGGAAGTTGGGGTCGGTGTCACCAGCTCGAGTTGGTGACCCATCTGTCAGACCTCCGGGGTCGGGATCCCCATGGCGTCCCCTTTGGGCGAGCTCTCTCGGGGCAACCATGGAAGGCCGAGCTCTTCGTGGAAGGAAGCTATCTCGTCTCCTCCGAGCGAGGTGGGTCAGCTGGGTGCCCCGGGCTCGAAAGAATTGATCACATTCTGCGTCGCTTGCTGAGCTAGCGGGTTCTCCTGTCACTGGCTGTCACTGGCTGAAAACTGCGGAGGGTGTCGCAGCAGTCCGTCACATGTAAGACCTTCCAGTCGGAGGCATTCAATGGATCGAGTCAGAAGACGGACGGCATTGCTTTGGGTCGATGGTGCCGAAAAAAAAAGACAAAAAGAATATGTCTATATAAAATAAAAGGGGCCAACTTCCACCAGAAGTGGGAAAATAGATGCTTCCTTCGTTTTCCGGTTGAAAGCCTGGGCCCCACCTGGAAACTACGGCTATAGACCAAGATGAGGTCCACAGCTACGCCAGGGTCGCTGTCGCAGGGAAGCACCTGAGCTGGACCAAGACGACCGATGCTACCGGTACGTGACCGACTTTTTCTGGGGAATCTCCCGACATAGCTCCGAACAACGGCTCCCTGTTGGATGGGGAGTATGGAAGCCCCCCGACGTTTTCGATTTTGGACTGTAAAACAGTGCTAACGAAGCAATCAAAAATCACGGAGGTGTAGGCCGATTTTTGGTTTGGAAACCTGGCACCCGCGTCATCCAAGAAGAACGGCTTTATTAGTTTGGCACTTTGTCAACACCCACGGCCCACGGACCCACCTCCTCTCTCCAAACAAAATCAATCACCAATGCCAAAGCGCCGTGTTCCAGACATTGAAATTTTTTTCCAGATCTTCTATTTCTTTGGAGCTTGCGTAAGCTCGAACGATGGCCAGAGGCAGCTGTGCTTCCAACGTCCTGACCAGCAAGAAAACGATCCTCAGTGGAAGAAGCAGGCGAGAGACTTCTTATAAATTAAAGGGACAACTGTTGAGAAAATTGGAAAGGTGAAGAATGTTCCCATCTTTCAAGAAGGAACCCTCCGAATCATCAGTTCCTTCGAAAAAATGCACGATGCCTTTGTCCCCCTTCCCACACCAGTCTCCCCTCGCACACTTTGCGTCTCGCGCAAACACCCCGGTCGTCTGGGCATCGCACCACAGGAAGAGCTTGGACATGAAAGATCATCGCCATGGCTCCATGACGAGCACTTCGCAGTGAAGAGACCGAGAGACAGGGGCATGCATCCTGGCGAGTTGGTGGTATGCATCCTGGCTGTCGCGTGGAGCTGTGAAGTGACAGAGGGACCCCAAAAAAAAATGTGTTGATGACGTTCAACCTCAGCGGCTGCGGGCACGATCTCTGTGTTCGCACACGTTTTTTTTCGCAGTACCCGCCATGGTCAAAGAACCGCAAAAACAAACCAACTCAGTCTTCTTCACTGAGGAACATTGTAATCTGACATGTTGAGTTGGTACGTTCAAAAAAAATAACGCACTTTGCGGACCAATTTTTGACCATGAAAGGATATGAAAGGGGTCTGCAATGAAAAGTGTGCATATCTAGAACTGAATGAACCCGTATTTGCCGCTCCTCCTTTGATTTCGAAGCTTCGATCTTTTTGATTCGAAAGCAACTTTAGAAAGGGTAAATCTGGCGAGTCCATGAATGGAAAATGCACATCCATCACGCAGTAATTCTCAAACTTGCGACAGGGAAACGCGAAAGGTGGAGAGGTGCCAGGAACATGTGCGAGGTGTTGTATCAAGTGTGGTGTGTGAGAGAGAGACTTATGTCAGAGAGGAAGGATTGCTGGTGTCGTGGGGTTGCTGGTGTCTGGCAGGCTTGTCAACACTGGTGCATGTGAAAGCCGTGGTGTGAACGAATTGCTTGGTGTTGAGCCAAGTGCGGTCATGTGTCACGCACGCGCTCCGCATAAGAGCAACCTAGGTCGCGAGGACAGGCTGCTGGACTCCAGATGATGCTCAGTGGTGGATGTGTGCTCATGGGTGCTGCACACATGACAGGCCATCTTGGACAGGTGCTTCCAGAGTCTTTTTGGAAGGACCATTGTGCTGAAACAGATGGCGTCCATGGTGAAAACAGAAATGTTTCCTGCTGGTTGCTTCAGAGATGACCTTTCTTGGATGTTGAAAGCAGTGCCATGGGGTTGCTTGGACCCTTGTTGGGTGATGCTCTTCCGCACGAACCCCAAGAGTTCAACCAAATGGACAAAAACCGTGGGTTCTTGCACGATCAAACAATCCATATCCCACAACAAGAAACTGACAGGATGCCTCAAAGTGGCATGGACAACAGCGGTCGTCTTGGAGATGAAGGAACCAGGCCGGCGGACTGGTTGCCCACACTGCAGAATCAGAGTCACTGGCGCTCCACATCAGCTGGGATCCACATGATCAACGGAGTGATGGTTCCAGGATCGCAAAAAACACGTTGTCATTGGTTGGCCTTGTGACAGGCCTTGAGTTGGGCATCAATCTTGGACCAGCAAGCAGCCCCATTGTTTCGATTCCTCCTCTGTCAAATTGCAACAAACTGTTCAAAAGCTCTTCCCACAGCTGCAAAAAACGTGTGTCATCTGGCAGCATGAACTCAGGCTCACTTTTCCAGCACCCAAAAGCGGACCAAACCCCAACAGAAGCTCAAATTTTTTGATCTCTAAAGAGGAAGTCAAACAACTCTTTGCAGATCAACGCAAAGCGGACCACAGAGAGAGAGAGAGAGAGAGATCAATTCTTGTGTTCGCTCATTCCACCTTCTGAGAAGGGTCCACACCTTCACTGGGCTGAGCAAGCCTTCTTTAAATTTGCCTGGAATCCAACTTGAAGTGGGGGATGACAAATGCAACTGCCATCCAAAAATATTCAACATCCAAACTGCATGCATCTTCCATGAGCCATGAATGAGTCTTCCACAAGCCACCACCAAGAAAGACCACAAGCATCTTCGCACAAAAGAGAGGTGTGCGCAAGATTTTTCGCATGTGCAAGTTCATTTGACAAAGACGAGCGATGCAGGAAATTTGCACACCTCGAAAACATTTTTTCTCCAAACAAGAAAAAAGTCAAGATCTGTCCGGTGGCACAACAACAAAGCTGAAGCGCAAAAGCTGTCTT